ATTCCCAGGGGTCTGTGAGAGAAGGACAGAGGGTGTACAGTAAAGGAAGAGAGAAGGTCGAAGCCATGAGAGGGTAAGTCTTACCCTTCCAGGATACTCATCAAACTTCTGCAGGTCCAGTGATGGGCTAATTAACATCTGCTAATGATCAGTAAAGGCCCTGGTGCCTGTGAGCCACTCTGTCCAAAACACACAGACTCTCTCTCTGTCCAGCATCTCTCTAGCTCTCAGCTGATTTCACCTTCAGATCAAACAATAACTAAAATCTGTCAAATTCAGCCAAATCTGTTCAAATCAACTTCAAATTAATCGCCAGTCTAAAAAAAAAGGATCAGGAAGGATGGGTGTAAAATTCTGTTCAAACGGGAAAATCTGCTAAAGCATCCTCTCTCACACCACCTCCATTTTCATTCTTCAAGAATCAGTGTGAAAACAGCAGACAAACATGTTTTTCCCAGTGTTGCTGTTTTTAGCTAATCACAAAAAAAAACAATATTCAAGACAATATTCTATTCTATTCTATTCTATTCTTTTCAGGGGTTCACATACGTGGTGTGCATGAGCGACCAAAATAAAAAATGTGATGGGTAAATATTTCAGACCGCTCATTTGCATACTGACAAGGTTGACAGCTGTTAATGCACAAAGAACATTTCAGATCGACCAACTGTAATACTGTATAAGACTTCCATTTGAACTTAAAGGGATAGTTCACCCAAAAATGAAAATTTGATGTTTATCTGCTTATCCCCAGGGCATCCAAGATGTAGGTGACTTTGTTTCTTCAGTAGAACACAAACAAAGATTTTTAACACAAACCGTTGCAGTCTGTCAGTCTTATAGTATTTACAGTATTTATATCATTTTTTACCTCTGATTCACGCAATGTCCGAACTGTTCGAACTGTCCTGAGCGGCGGCGCGTCCTCCTGAGCGCATTCTCAACAGCAGGTGCGTGAGGCGTCTTCTTCTTCTTGCTTTACTGTGGATCGCAGACTTATAAGTGCATTACCGCCACCTATATCTCAAGTGGACCATTGACACTCCTAATTGAGATTGTAGATAGAGTGTCAATGGTCCATTTGAGAGATAGGTGGCGGTAATGCACTTATAAGTCTGCAACGGTTTGTGTTAAAAATCTTCTTTTTTGTTCTACTGAAGAAACAAAGTCACCTACATATTTGATGCCCTGGGGGTAAGCAGAAAAACATCAAATTTTCATTTTTGGGTGAACTATCCCTTTAAAGCATAAATATAGGCCAGGAGCTATCAGTTTCAAAGAAAAACACGAAACTGTGACATTCACTGATGCGCTTCACTTGGCAGCGCTAAACCCGGAAGCACATATACTTCCTTGATGGCAACCCGGCAAAATAAAAGTTTATTGATTGAAGCTTGCTGATTTTAGGTTTGTAAATGTTGAAAATTCATATAAAAATAAAAAAGTAAAAAATGACAATATGTAACAAATGTAAATATTAGCATTGTATTTTTCAAGTGTACTATAAAATAATTGTATTTTTATTTATTTTAAAATAAAATAGTATTATCATCACACTTTATTTATTGTTTTGTTAATTATTTTATAAAAAAAAAAATAACTGAATAAAGTCCAATAATACTATTATTAATTACTATTATTGATTATTTTAATTTTTTGTATATATATGTTTAATGGGTCACACTCAAGCGGCAACCTCCCGCTCTCTCTCGTGAAGCCAACACGGAAGTGACTTAAACTGTAATTCGTCAACTCAGACTCCCCATGTTAAAATGCCCAACTTTACAGCAGAAAAAAACATGTTTACAGCCTGGTTCAAAAAATGATTTTGGTCTATATAGCTAATTTTGCCTTTCATGACAACTGTGAAGGGGGTGAATTTTTTTATAAGTCATCTGTTTAAATTATAATAAGCCTTAAAGTTCTGCATAATTAAGGGTGTGGCCACTTGAGTGACAAGTGGATTGCCGCTGCTGTCACCACCATCGAGCTACGTGGGCATGGTTTCAGCAACCAGCTCCCACCTTTTGCCCATTTTCGATTATCCGGGAGTGACACGTGGTGAGGCGCTGCCAAGATGGCAACGGCCGGCTCTGCCCACTTTGAGCTTCAAAAACGCTCTTCAGGAACTTACGGGTGACGTCACGGACACTACATCCATGTTTTTATACAGTCTATGGTCACACTATGTGCAGTGTGAGCACCAAACCAAATATCCAGGCGCTCTCATGAGAACCAGACCGAAAAACGTATGTGCAACCCTGATTATATTATATTATATTATAAAGATAGAAACCTTCAGAACTATCAGAATCATAAATGATTTGAATTCAGGTGTCACTGTGAAATGGTTTCCTTTTAAGCACCTGAATATTTCATTGCAATATAATGGCTTTTCAAACACATTAAAATAAAGTAAACATCAATATATATCAACTAGACAATACAGCTGGCACAGTCTACACAATATCCAAGTTAAACATCTCAGAAGCAAAGGTTGGAGGATTTTGAAAGTGGACACAAGATGAAACTAGACATGAAATTACTATTTTTTTTAGATTCAAACTTGAAATCTCTACTTGTTAACATCAAGGGTTTCTATAGAGATAAAACGAAACTGATTTAAATATTAAGATTTAAAAAAATACTTTAATAGCATTTTTGTATTCCAGGTTTGGAACAACTGCTGAGCTTCGTAACAATTTACCAACGAGCCATCATCTGACTCCAGCTGGCTCTGTTTGACTAGCATTCATCATCAGACTCCGCCTCTTCCTCCATCTTGTTAATATCATTTCATTTTCATCGCTCGGTAAGATGCGGACAGGCAGGGTTGTCCGCCGGTGTCAGGTCCACGCAAACGGGGTGGATAAATGGAGTGCTTGAGTTCGGTGAGTGGAGGAAAAGGGAGAACGCAGTACACGCTTCCACCTCCGACAGCTTGATGAATTGGGGCGGCAACAGGCAGAGCTAGACCCATAATTCAGCATGTTATAAATCCTGGATAAGGATGAAAGACTGCCATAAAAGACATTACTGTCCATTCCGTCTAATGAGCCAGTACATCAGCGCCTGGAGACGCTCACCCACCGGCCCTCTCTCAAAACACTCCTTCACCCGTCCCTCGTACAAAGACCATTCCTATTGTTAAATACCGGATCAATAGTGTAAATAATCTATTTCATCTCCCTGTTGATGTTACAAAACCAACTTTTAGTCTTTCGTCACTGAGACATACATCTCACACTTGACAAGCCATCTGCGGATCGATACAGTGATAAGTTTAGCTCTACTCCCTCTCCAAACATCAGGCCTTTTCTGAATTAAGCAGATTGATGAGGTCTATGAATATAACGCCTCCCATGGTACCGCCAGACTTTTGTGTGTGTGTGTGCATTTCATTGTCACATTATACTCATCTCTGTAGACCTGAACTCAAGTCCAAATCCCCACTGGATCTGTGTCTCGTATTTTCACTACATAAAGTCCTACATGAGGCCTAACCAAAGGCTGTTTAAAAAAAAAAAAACAGTCATTCTCACCAGGGTTGTTTTAGGTAACTAAACCTAAAAACATAAAAAAAATATATATTTACTTGAAATAAATGTTAAATTGTTAATAATAAATGTTAAATGTTAAAAAAATTTTTTTTTTTTTGTTTGTTTTGCTTTTTTAGCTGGCCAAGGCAACATTTTCATTTTAATTTAGTTTAACTTGATGTATTAAAATAACTAAAACTGAAAAAAAAAATTAATAAAACTATATAGAAAAAAAATAATTTTGATAAAAAATATTAAAAAAACAAAACTAATTTAAATGAAAATGGAAAATATAAAAATAAAAATGGATTCAAAATATTAATTTAAAATAAAAATAAATAAATAAATAAAGGTCCAAAAGGTATAGAAGAACCATTTTTAGGTTCCCCAGAGAACCTTCTCTAATTTTAGTGTAAAAATATATTAACAATATTATTATTTTAATATCTAAAGAACTTTTCCACTACAAAGAACCGTCTGTGCAATGAAAAGATTCCATGGATGTTAAATGTTATTCATGGAACCACTGATGCCAATACAGAACCTTAATATTTAAGAGTGATACTAAAATAACACTGGTTCTCATCAAATAAAACATTGGTCTAACGTCCCTGTCAATATAATATCCACAAACAAGATGCAAAGGAAGAGGAGAAAGATCAATATTAATCATTTCACAGTGTCGCTTTGAGGAGGTGGGCAGTGGAATGACACATCGTTAGTGTTTTCCAGTATCACCGAAGTTCTGGTGTAAAAAACTACACAGCTCCAAAGCCCAGCCTGGCTGACCATATAGTCTAAAATGGATCTTTGGAAAAGAAAGAAAGAACAAGAGACCGAGAGGAGAGTGTAGTGCCTAGGGAAACGAATCTGACTTCAAAAACAGCAGCACTCAGAAAGAAACGCTTGGCTGAAGAAGAAAACACAGATATTACCATAAGGCCTGATAATCATTGGGATAATGAGCTCTGGACTGCATATACAGGGATCTTTTTGCAGCACTGAAGTATATGGCACTGTTCTGATAAACGAATGCAGCGCCAGAAGACACAGTGCATGTTCATTTTAACAGTATAGCAGGCCAAGCAGGACATGCATTCATCGAACACATTCTCTGGCCCTGATTAACTAGGATCACAAATAAAGGGTGCTATTGTGCTACATACTGCACTACATGTGTGCATTGTGGGTGATTTACTAACAAGAACTGTATAAATAGGCTAGACATGTCAATATTTAAAGGAGGCTTCTGCATGTGGTAATTGTACTAAATGTTACATGAAGTGCTCACTGCATACCAGGCAAACACATAATGACAAACACACACACAAACAAACAAACAATAAATAATACTGAAGTACTGAAGTACTTGTATATTTGAATGAAGGGAGTGAGGGAAAAACACTTTCAGATCAGCATTCACACTGCACAGTGAACAAAAAGAGACTAGAAAATGCTAACCACTTTGTCCTCTTTCTTCTCCAGCGTCACAGAGAGAAACAGGATGGTGGGTGGGGGAGAAGAACAAGAGAGAGAAGTATGAAATGACAATCAGATATGAAAACAAAAACCATTTAGATGCATACTGGAATAATAAACATAAAAACAGCTCTAGACTGGCATTAGCAGCATCAAAAGGTGTCAAAATACAAATTGCATTTTCCAGTTGCAAAACAAACTTGTCTTGGAATGTTTTACATTATAATGTGGATTTATTCACTTTTTCCTTGCTATTATTTCAGGACAGATCACGGTAGTGTAAATTTGCAGGTATGTTGCCACCCACAGGGCAAACCTGAGAGGTGCAGGTTGCACTGATATTCACTCTAATGCCCGGTTCAGACTACACGATTTTAGCCCGATTTTGCCACGATTTGCTTGATGTAGGGTGTCGTGGGGATTCGTAAATGACAATGGGCGTCGGGACGCAAGATTCCATCGTTTCAGCACGTGTAGTGTGTCATAGTGGACGACAACCGATTCCGCGTCTGCGATGCTTTTTTTTTTTCGTCGTCCATGACGAGTTCTGTGACATTGGTGACGCTAACCAATAGCAGCACAGAAGCTCTTTCATACACAGGTTTCAAACATGGCAAAATGAAAGAGAGATGATGGCTGCTAGGTGGAATTATGAGATGGAGGAAAGGTTCGTGGAGCTGTGGCAACAGTACTCCTGCCTGTATGATGTGTCATCAAGGGACTACCACGACAGAACAAAGAAAGAAAAATGCTGGCGAACTATAGCGGAAGCGCTTCAGCAATGTTTATGCTCTTGTTTTCGGAAGTCAGTCGCTAGTTCCTCCTTCTCGATGACATCACGTTAAAGATGGCACGCGATGAATGGTCGGGAAGCAACGTGTAGTCTGACATGTTTCTTGTCCACGCCACGACAAGATTTTAGGAGTCAAAATCATGTAATCTGACACAGTGACTATCGTGACTCACAAAAATATCATGTAGTCTGAAGAACCCGGCATAAGATTGCCCATGATTTATTCCCAGTGGAAATAAAGGTAGTGCATGGGTCACTGAAAACGAGAACATGACATTCCGCTTAGTAGGTCCTACTGCTTCAGAGCCACCATAGTAAAAACACTCACAGACACTAAAATGCTATTGTATAACTATAAAACACCTGCACACTGATAAACAAATGCACACTAAAGGCAGGTGTAAACACTGTACCATTTTTCATTAACTGGCTGTCATAGGTATTTCGCTGCCATTTAATGAAGAATCCATACAGAGATTCACACTGCAGGACACATCATTTTGGAGACTTATCCACTGGAGGCTGGCATACATATCACTGATCATGGAGGAAGAAGATTGGTTAACTTCAGATTTCATAATAAAAACATCATGGTACAGCCATCTGCCATGTTTAATTCAATTTACTGTATTTAATTCAGATTTTAATTGTAGTTTGCACTTTTAATTGTGGCTAGTCTGTGGCTGGGAGTTTATTAAATTCCTTTAAAAAAATACTTTGGGCATTCGGAAATAAATGTAATTGTGCATATATACACTATGATTTGAAATTTTGGGGTTGGTAAGATTTTTTATGTTTTTAAATGCTCACCAAGGCTGTATTTATTTGAACAAAATAAAGAAAATCGTTAATATTATTACAAATGAAAATAACTGTTTCATATTAGAATATACTTTAAAATGTAATATATTCCTATGATGACAAAGCTGAATTTTCAGCAGCCATTACTCCTGTCTTCAGTGTCACACAATCATTCAGAAATCAATCTTTTATTCTGATTGGGTATGCATGAAACATTTCTTATTATTATCAATGTTAAAAACTTAAATTGCGCTGCTTAATATTTTGTGAAAACCATGATACACTGGGTGCACTGGGTGGGGCATTTCTGATTTTTGTAACAGTTTCAATGAACTATTTCGAGTCTGTTCACTCTGGACCAGCTCAGGCTACTCATAGCAATGGCTATGGTCATAGAAATAGCTATTAAGTGTATTTCATCACTTTTAGCTACTGTTTCCAGTCTACCAGATTGAGTAGGTGTAGCTCTCTATGTTTAACCTACAAGCATCTAGCGACTCCATTATCAAGACTGCCACTCTCATTAATAGCACACGCCAAAGGGCTCCGAGAAACAACATGCGCTCATTTCAGCGAAACTAACCTCAGGGCAGCACCCATCCACTACCAGCGGAGTCTTCACTTCCATTGCATCACATATGGGATTTCTCCTACCTTCTCAGACACAGACAAAAGCATCTGAACAGCCTTCTACACTCAACACTGGCCCTATCTGAGCTTTCTCACATCTAAACCAAAATTAAACCTCGCGAAGTGCCAAATGTAAGTAAAAATCAGCTTTGGGGGTTACATCAATACAAAAGCAACAATCAGATCCTAGCTGACATGAATTAAATCATAATCTCAGTGGAAAATATACTTATTAAAAATATGAATGTAATGAAATTAAAATTCTGGCTGATGCCAATAAGCAGATAAACATTTTAAGCCAATAACCAGTAAATGGTAGATACATAAAAATTATATTTTGTCTAAATAAATGAAAAAAAAAAAAAACACTAAAAAATATTTTAATGTTAATGTTTTTAAAATACCAAAAACATTTTAATGTCCCAACTAAATTTAGGTACAGTATCACAGCATTATAATGCAAAATTAAAAATATGATTCATTTTAGGATAATTGGGCCATATTTCCCAGTCTTCTCAATAGCAAAAAGTTGCCCAATTTACCTGAATTCACTCTAGATATTAATTTTGATATTTGCTAAAGATTTTATTTAACAGTGTAATTAAATTATTAGCATTTTAAAGATTAACAAAGTGAGCATTTGGATGATGGCAAAGATAATTTAAATGTAAAGGGGAAATGAGCATGTACAATTAAATATCCAATTTCGACAGCTACCAAAAACCTATACAATTTCTAATACTGATAACTAATACTGTCAATATATTGTTTATTCTTCATTAAACAAAATAGCATTATTCATGACATTAATATTATTTATTAGTCACTCTATGGCTAAAAATCATTAATTTTTCATAAGCAAAATAATAATTACCTTTTTTATTAACTTGTAAATAAAATGTAAATAAAAAATGCATGATAGGATACATTGACTGCCAATAAAATTTCTCAATTCACTTGCCATTGGCTGGCGTAGACAATAGTTACACTACAAATGGCCTGGCTTCATTGTGTAGCTATAAAAACGTACATATTTACTTCAAATATACAGATGGACACATCTGTAACTAAATCAGTGTGTTATTAATTACATTTACCCTTATCTCCACCTCACTGACCTCACTCCCTACTCTACTGCCTCTGTCGGTGAGCTGTTGACTCCCTACACTGCACTCATTATGACTGAACACTAATTAGCGCTCTGGACTCAGTGGAAGGAATAGAAAGCGAAGGTAAATATCACACTCCAGGAGGTGGGCTACCATTTCAGGTGCTTCTCTTTGCGTGGTACGGCTGCCCCTGTGGAGAGTCAGTGCCGACTCGGGCATCCCAGTGTGGGTGTGCGGCGACCCCCCGGTGACCAGCAGCGTCATCTCCTCTGACTAATGCCCAATTAACCTTTCTCTCATCCACCCAGCGCTCTTCTCTCCCTGTCCCTGCTTAAATGTGTGCAGATGCAGGTCGGGGAAGCATGAAAAACAGTCTGGCCACTCACACGATATAGGTGGTACTCACGTTATTGGAACGCAGAGAGACCCTTCCCCCGCAGCGGGCACAGAACTTAGTCTGGCAGTAGGAGCACAGGTTTCCGCAGCCATCAGCAAACTTGGTCTTGTGGCAGATGCCACAGGTGGGGGCGTCATCCTTGTGTTGGCCCTGCTGCCTCTGTTGGGGGGGCTCCGGCCCAATCCGCCTCACCTGCTCCTTGTAGTTGGCAAACTGCTGGTGCAAACTGGAAGGGGAGAGGAGACAGAGAAAGAGAAAGGGGACATAAAAAATTTAGGTTCAAATTCAATAGTTGCCAATGTAACATTTTTACCTAATAGCTTCCCAATCTTATGAGTAAATTTAACATCAATTCTCTCAATTTTAACATGTTACCAGTAAATGTAACATTTTAGCCAAATAATCCCTCCATTTTAACATTTTACCCCAAATTTAACATTTTAACCCAATAATCCCTCAAATTAATAATTTTACATTTTTGTAACATTTTAAGCCAATAATCCTTCAAATTAATAATTTTACATTTTTGTATTTTTTGTGACATTTCAACCAAATAATCCCTCAAATTAATAATTCCACATTTGGTAAAATTTGTAACATTTTAACACAATAATCCCTCAAATGAATAATTTTACACTTTTGTAACATTTGTAACATTTTATTAAACCCTCAAATTAATAATTTTAAATTTGTGTAACTTTTGTAACATTTGAACCCAATAAACCCTCAAATTAATAATTTTAAATTTTTTTGCCTTTTGTAACATTTTTACCTAATAACGCCTCTCCCCCCTCCCCAAGTTTACCAGCAAATTTCAAATTTTTACCTTATGACCCTCAACATTTTCCAGCAAATAACTTTTTAACATAATAATCCCTCAATGTTAACATTTTACAAGCAATTTTATAAGTAGATTTAACATTTTTATCTATCATCTACCAATAAATTTGACATATCAGAAATTTTGACTTGATGACCTGATACTCTAATTTGATTTTTTCCCCTAATAATGCCCCATATTTATTCAGATTAATTGACAATATGTTTTTTTTTCTAACAAACTGACCAATTTTCACAGTAAGTTCAATGGTTACCCTGTTTTCTCAAAAAAATCATCTCACAGAACAGAACCAAACAATATAGCCCTGACTGACCATGTGCACATGACGAACTCCAACTTCAAGGTATGTATTTACTTGGAAAATATGTTGCTAGTAAGCACTTATTCTGAAGCTAATGCAGTAATTGAAGACAGTATCATGATATTTCAAAGGTTCACAATCTGCATGTCAATGGAAACTCCACTACCAAACCTCACATTTCCTTCACTCTTTCACTCCAGCTCTATCTCAGTCTTTCTTTCAGTCTAATGTTCTTTCCACCACGTAGATGAAGAATGCTTAAAGACTACATGAACGTCTTCCAAAAGAGTTCCAAACAAACCAGCGACTGCCAAACAAAATCATGACACATACAACCCATATCCGGCATTTTCCCCTGTCTAAACAGCACTGAGGTCTCAAGCATGAATCTATCCGGAGCTTTACTTACGCTAAAGGGGTCTTCCTCACAGACTCCTCCGCCATGACGATATCATGTGACGTATATTAAAATAAGCAACCTATATATAGAGTTAAAAGAATATACTACCTACGGAATGTGATGAATGTGCGAGCATCCATGCATAACGTGCCCCAGAGAAAGACAACGAGATGATCTGAACTCCTGCCCCAGTCCTAACCCCTGTCTCCCTCCCCCTGTGCACCCCTACTGCTCTCCTGTTCCTCAACACCGTCACCAGTGAACATCCTGTGGGTCAAAGATAAACGTAAAGAACAAGCTCCAACACAGGAGTGACAAGATGTGACTGCAAGATTACAAATTAAAATAAAAAAACTAAATCGGTTGCTTTTTCACAGACTTAAGAGTTCAATACAATGCAATACAATACATTTATTATAACTTTTTTGGTATTAAAAGAAGAAATGTACAATTACACAATATAAAAAAGTGCAAAAACAAAGAACTACGTATCTAAAAAAAATTCTATAATTAAATTACAAATATGTGGGAAATATTTATAAAAATGTCAAATTTTTGTCACCATCATTTAAGGTTGTAATATTCACCATAACTGAGAAGAACTACAGAAAGTCAGATATTTTTTTTTATTTATTTGAATAATATATTTTATCCAGTTTAGCTGGATTATCAATTACGAATGCTCTAAAATTTCTTAGGAAAAAATTAAATATCCATCCATTCATCTATATCAAGGGCTATTTTTAATGGCATAATCAATTACTAAAACACTAGACACAAATTATAGACAAATAACAGGCTTTTAACAATATTACAATAAGTTATATATGATTTCTCAATTTTATGTGCCAAAATTGCATGTTCAGAAATAAAGAGACTGAGAGACACAGCATATAACAGTATGAGTTAATGCTATTAGCTCAGCTCAGATAAGTTGGTGTTTCAAACTTCAATTTTCACAAGAAATGTTTGAATTTATACTGAAAGTTCTGATTTTTGATTATAGACACATAGCAAATAGCACAGATACAGCATTGAGATCTCTTATGAAACTCTAAAGCTAATATCTAATAAACAAATGAAATATTAAATAGATTTTTAATCTAGATTTTTAAGTGTAACTGGAAAAAGGCACATTGTAATTCCAAAAGGCTTGAAATAGGATCCCAATTGCAATCAAAAAAAGGAAAGCAGGTTGAATTAAGCATGCATTCTTCTCATCTCAATATTAAGATGTAACATTCACCTTTCAAACTTTCAGAACACAATGACCTTTAGTTACAGTAGCTCCGATGAACAACAGAGCACAAAGTCAATGCTGAAATTAAATTGAGCAGCACTAGACTACAAAAACCTTTCAACGCTTTATGAAAAACATGAGAAACAGAGACAAACATTGAGCTTGGCACTGTAAAAGAACATGTGAAAGTGCTTTGTACTCTGAGCCGGAAATGATATTCAGGAAAGCAGCCCAGCTTGCCATAATTGAGACAGCACGTAAAACAAAGACCCATAAGTGAAGCACAAGGTTATACGAAAGTGAACCACAGCTTTACTTTACTAGCACAAACCCCTCTTCCCCATCACAAATCATTTGCTTCTCTCTCTCTCTCTCTCTCTCTCTCTCTTCCTCTCATCCAGGAATAGAAGTAAACCTTTTGTGAAATGCAAATCAGGCACAGAGTCTGCAAGAAACGGTGAGCAATTCACACAGGACTCCGGCATTAGCACAGAACTTGGTGTAATTAAGGTATGAGGAAGCTCTAATTAATGTGGTAAAGTGTGGGGATACGGAGGAGAGCCGGCGTGGAGATGCGTGAGGTGGGATGCGTTTTTACTCCGTTCTCCCCTGCTTCATGACAGCTGGTCCTCAGTGGCTGCTGATGTCGTCGGGCGAGCACATGGAAACGTTCATGATTAAACAGCTGTCAGCAGTCGCTCGTACTAACGCACACCATGACAGGAGCCACAACTGTAACTCATTGGCTGTGCGCAGCGTTCCTGCGGAGGCTTTGGTCGGGCCTACACGCTGGCACATTTATCATGTCTGCTAGGCCCCACGGCTCCCCACATGGGCATAAATCCACCCTATATGTGCCAGGATGTCGTATGAAAGGACAGACGAGGGACAGAGATGTAGTGAAAGTACTGCTGAGGTTCAGTCAGTGTAAATTCAACATCATTCACAGCGAATGCCGGGACAAACGTGCGTTTATGAGGGAACAGAGCACGTTGGCAGCCTGTGATGGAGCCATAAATGCAGCTCACAGGCACTAGCAGCTCCATTCATCCTCTAACAAAAGAGGACAAATCTAAACACCACTCACAGGACATTTATGCTGTGTTCAACAGGAAAAACAGCTTGACACAAAAATGCCATTAATACAATATATGTCAATAAAGAAGGTATTTTATATACAGTGGTGGCCAAAATTATTAGAACACTAGTATTTTCACCAGCTAAAAAAATGGTTTTAAGTCAGTTATTTCTATTGTTTGCTGTAATGTGTCAGTAGGAAATATCCCATTAATTTTGCCATTAATTGTAATATTCCAGAGAGATTTTTGTTTGCACAAGGAGTCTGACAACAACCAGTGCTCCACACAGAGATCTGATCTCATCATCATCCAGTCTGTCTGGAATGACATGAAGAAACAGAACAAACTGAGACAGACTAAATCCAGAAGAACCGTGGCAACGTCTTCAAGATGCTACAAGAAACCTTCCTGCAAAGCTATAGTACTGTTAAAAGTTTTAGGCACTTGTGTAAAAATGCTGTAAAATGAGGATGCTGTCAAAAATAATGTTATAAATAGATTTTCTTTATCAATTAACTTCTACTAGTTTAAATCAACTAACTAAATTAAATCAACATTTGGTCTGACCATCCTTTGCGTTTAAAGCAGCTTTTGCCCTAGGTGCAATCTCATTCCAGACAGACTGGATGATGATGAGATCAGATCTCTGTGTGGAGCACTGGCTGTCGTCAGACT